AAATTAAGTTTCTGTGTTGTTGGCATGTTTTATATAGATACATGTTTTAACTTTTATGAATCTGGTGATGTCAATCTCAGTGTCATATAGGATGAAATAAACTTCTATTGGTTGTTTAACCTTCTTGGAGCATGCATGCTAAGGGAACTAATGATTATTGGTGGAAAAGATGATGCTCTATGCTTTGAGTTTATGTGCATGAAACAAATTTTTAAAAATTTCCTTGTTCTTCTTGTAGAGCTCAAAATCAATGAAGATAAGGAGAAGCGAGGGAGGGAAATGGTTGGATGCTGTGCCAGTTTACCTTTGGCCATTGTTGTGCTTGGAAGGCTTTTGGCAACAAAGGAAACATTGATTGAGTGGGACATGGTGAACAGAAATATCAGGTCATATTTGGCCAAAACTAAAGGCCATGAACAAGCAAGATTATCTGAGGTATTGGCTTTAAGTTACCATGAACTGCCTTACCAATTGAAACCGTGCTTCCTCTATTTGTGTCAGTTCCCTGAAGATTTTGATATACCAACTAAAAAGTTAGTTCAGCAGTGGGTGGCAGAAGGCTTTGTGTTCTCACAGGATGAGTTAGAAGGAGATGAAACAATGGAGGATGTTGCAGAAGGCTACCTACATGGTTTGATCAACAGGTGTATGGTTCAAGTGGGAGTGAGGGGTTCAACTGGAACAATTAAAACTTGTCGCCTTCATGACCTTACACATGATCTTTACTTGTCGAAGGCAAGACAAGAAAGTTTCAATGACATAATTGACCACTAGTGTGGGAATGAGACCCTTGGTGCACTTCCATCATCCACTGGAACAAGATCAATTGGAAAGAGTTGCAGGCTTTTGATTCTTTTGAGGGAAGATGTTGATGATCTTATTCCACCACAATACAAGAAAAATCGTAACCTGAGGTCCCTCTTCTTCTTCCGTTAAAAAAACACAGATTAGATATTGCACAGATAATGAATTCTGTAGTTTCCAAGTTCAGATTGCTTAAAGTCAGGGATCTTGAAGGAATTAAAGGACCTGAGGTGAAGTTGCCAGCAGATATAGGAACTCTGACATAGCTGAAGTTCTTAAGTATAAAGAAAACTCTTATAAGAGAGTTGCCATCGTCTTTGGTCAATCTGTTGTTCTTGGAAACCCTGAATTTGCAAACCATAAATAAGTTTTCTTGGGAATCAACTGTACAATTGCCAGATGTATTATGGAAGATGGTGTGGTTGAGACATCTATATCTTCAAAAGTGGTGGTGATGTAACTGATAAGTTGCAGCTGGCAAGTCTAACAAATGTGATGTTAAAGATCTTCTCAGGTTGACCAATCTCAGGAAACTTGTGCTGAATGATGCCGGATACTTCGGAAACTTTGTCAGAATCTTTGATCCTCTAAGAAGCACATTAAACTTCCTCATGTCCTTGTCTTTAAAGACTGTTATTCTCTCCTTTCCTGATAAGGTTGTTGATATAAGGCAGCTATTATTAGTCTATCCTCGTCTTTGCAAGCTGCACATAGAAGGGCGGACAGAGAACCTACCTCAATACCATGAGTTCCCTCCCTACCTTGCCAAGTTAACTTTGTGTGGACCTAGGCTTTAGGAAGACCCAATGAAGACTCTGGGGAAGCTGCCAAACTTAAGATACTTTAGCGGGTGGGAAGTGTTTGTCAGAAAGAAAATGGTTTGCTCAAGAAAAGGTTTTCCCCAACTCAAGACCTTACTCCTTCGTGGCCTTCCCAATTTAGAGGAGGGGACAGTGGAGGAAGGAGCCATGCCTAGTCTGGTTCGTCTAGGAATTTCAGATTGCTATAAGCTAAAGATGTTTCCTGAAGGTTTGATGTTCATCACTACTCTTAAGGAACTGGAGATTACATGGATGACTAGAGCATTCAAAGGTCTCCTTCAAGAAGATGGAAAGGATTTCTACAAAATCCCGCACGTGCCTTCTATTGTATTTCTAAATTGAGAAGGGTGATCGTCAAGTAAAAAAGTGATCCTAGTAGAGTTACTGTAGACTTTCATGTTTAATATTTTTGTTTGCTTAGTATTACTTAAAATTTTTTGGCATTTGGCTAAAATATGTGCTTAAAAGTTGTAACTTGTAACTGCACCTGCTGCTAATAACATGCTCAAATATTTACCTGTAAAAGATAAAGTACGTGATAAATTGCCCATGCACAAATCAGCTATATGACACAGTAGTTCTGCAAGGGCTTTTTACATAAAAAGGTTCCCCAGGATTAGTTCCTCATAAAATGGTGATAGAAACCTTAACAATTCAAAATCTGTAGTAGATGTAGAGGTGACATGTATATATCTTTACGAATTTTTTTTACTTTCTATTTTTCTCAATTGTTATTTCAGCTGCAAAATTCTCTATTGACCTCTATATCTGGACTGCATTCTGAAACACATAAATCTGTATGATAATTTCCTGAACAAAAGAATTTCTTTCTGGAAATGAAGTTTTTGCATTGTAGTCCTGTATTGATT